GTGAGTGTGAGTGAGTGAGTGTGAGTGAGTGAGTGTGAGTGAGTGAGTGTGAGTGAGCGAGTGAGTGAGCGAGCGAGCGAGTGAGTGAGTGTGAGTGAGTGAGTGTGAGTGAGTGTGAGTGAGTGAGTGTGAGTGAGTGAGTGAGGTGAGTGAGTGAGTGAGTGAGTGCGTGTGTGTGTGTGTGAGTGAGGAGCAGGCGGAGGAGGAGGAGGAGCAGGAGGAGGAGGAGGAGGCGGATACAGAACTAAAAACAAACACCCCACACGTCAATGTGGGGAAAAAGCATCATGTTCGGGGCAGTTTTGGACGTTCAGCAATAATTTTGTGTGATAGGCACAATGGCTTCTGTGCTTGCCAACAGTGAGCAGAACGTGAGGGTTTTGTGGCAGTCTCAGATTTCCTGAGAGGGGCTGCATTTTGGAGCATCAGATCTTCAGGTTTGCTAAGATGATTTTGCGTGACAGGCGCAGCACTTCGTATGACTTGATCTCACTTTTTCCTGGCAGGCTCAGTACTTTAGACAGATGGGATGGAAAAAAACGCAAAACGCATTGGTACGAGGCCGTCAGCTTTGCACTCAACTTTCCATTTTTCAAAAAGAATTCTGACAGAATTGCTTCGTTCTTGATGCTGTCAACTTCGCATTTTTGTGAGGAAGTCTCGCCGAAATACTTCATTTTTGGACATGTCAACTTCCACTTTTGAAGGAAGTTTCGCATAATGACAGAGAGATAGGTACAGACAGAAAGACAGATAGATAGGTAGAGACATAGTGAGAGAGAGAGAGAGAAAGAGAGAGATACAGAGATTGGGAGAGATTGACAGCGAGACAGATCCATGGATAGAGAGCTAGATATGAGTGAGAGAGAGAGGCAGAGAGAGATTAGATAGTTAGATAGATAAGATAAGATAAGATTAGATTCAGATTAGATTTAGATTAGATTAGACTAGATTAGGTTATATTAGATTATATTGTATAATATTCAAATATATTATATTAGATTAGTTTAGATAGGATCGATACATAGATAGATAGATAGATTAGATTAGGTTAGGTTAGGTTTGGTTAGGTTAGATTAGATCGATAGATAGATCGATAGATAGATCGATAGATAGATCGACAGATAGATAGAAAGAAAGAAAGATAGATAGATAGAAAGAAAGATAGATAGATTAGATCAGATTAGATTAGATTAGATGAGATGAGATTAGATTAGATTAGATAGATCCATCGATCGATTGGATAGACCGGATAGACCGATAGGTCGATGGATCGATAGATAAGTAGATCGATAGATCAATAGGTTGATACATCAGCAGATCGATAGACAGATAGATCAAAAGATCGATGCATCGATAGGTCGATAGATTGCCAGGTCGATGAAGCGATAGAGCGATAGATGGATAGATAGATGGATGGATAGATAGATAGATAGGTAGGTAGGTAGGTAGATAGATAGGCAGATAGACAGATAGAAAGATAGAAATATAGAACGATAGAAGATAGATAGATGGGAAGAAAGAAAGATAGGTAGAGGGAGAAAGAGAGAGATAGCTGCTAGTGCTGGAGAAACAGACAGGCAGATAGACAGACAGACAGATACATAGTTAGAGAGAGAGAGAGATAAACAGACAGACAGACAGAGAAAGAGACAGAGACAGACAGAGAAAGAGACAGAGACAGACAGAGAAAGAGACAGACAGAGAAAGAGAGAGAGAGAGAGACAGAGACAGAGACAGAGACAGAGAGACAGGGAGGCAGAGAGACCAGACAGACCGGACAGACCGGACCAGACAGACCAGCAGACCAGACACACCAGACCAGACCAGACCAGACAGACCAGCAGACCAGACAGACTAGACCAGACCAGACCAGGCAGACCAGGCAGACCAGACCAGGGAGACCAGACAGAGAGACAGACAGACGGACGGACGGACGGACAGACAGGACAGACAGACAGATAGACAGTGAGGCAGGGAGGTAGACAGATGGACGGACAGACAGACAGACAGACAGGACAGGAAGACACACAGGACAGGAAGACAGATAGGACAGGAAGACAGACAGACAGCCAGACAGACAGCCAGACAGCCAGACAGACAGCCAGACAGGCAGGCAGGTAGGCAGGCAGGTAGGCAGGTAGGCAGGCAGGCAGACAGACAGTATAAATAAAGACAGAGAGAGATGATGGAGAGAGAGAGAGAGGGAAAGAACGCGAGAGAGAGGGAAAGAACGCGAGAGAGAGAGAGAGAGAGAGTGAGGGAGGGAGGGAGGGAGAGAGAGAGAGGGGGAGAGAGAGAGATAGAGATAGAAATAGAGATAGAGATAGAGATAGAGATAGAGGTGCAGAGGCACAGAGAGAAGGAGACAGAGAGAGATTGAGGGAGAGAGAGAGAAAGAGAGAGAAAGAGAGAGAAAGAGAGAGAGAAAGAAAAAAAAATCAGAGCCTCAACTGCGTTTCTGTCCGTTGGTTCACTTTGCAATCCATACATCACAGCAACCCACCTCTCCTATAGGTTTCCTATCTTTGAAACTTCCGCCAAAGCCTTGGTACACGTGCTCTCGGTACACGGCATCGGTCCACGTTTTTAAGGTGGGGTCCCGGGGGGTGGGCTAATAACGTTCTCTTGCATTTACACGCACACGTCATTGGGGTGGGGTGGGGTGGGGTGGGCTAATACCCAGTGGTTCGGTGCCAATCCCGGCTTAGATTCAGGTGTTGTTTTTGGCATGGACACATTGTGGATGGGACTACCGGAGGGCAAGCAGAAGTAAAGAAAACAATGGGTGGTACGGGGAAGTACCCAAGGGTGACGAACCATGTCAGTTTGTGACTTATGATACACCAGATAATCATTAACCAACAGAGGTTGATCACCTATATCGCCAGATATTTGATTGTTAACCCCCTGTAAATCATCGTTATCTCAGTTATGTCCCACTTCAACCATCGTAGAGTTGGTTCGTCGTTTTAACGATCACCTGGTGAAAAGGTGCCTATTCTTTGCGTCGTCCTTCGGATGCAAGAAAGGGGACTCCTGCGACTTCTGCCATCACAGCGTGAGCGCCGCACAGGCTGGAATCCCAGCGCAGCGGCCGAAGAACACCCGGCGCCGAAAATTTCAGGAAGATGTGCAGCAACTTTTGCTGCAGCTGAATGTGCGTCAGCAAGGGCCCATGAATGTGGTGACTTGGATTTGAAATGAGATCCATATGTGTTTTTTTTCATGGCCAAAAAAAAAGAGTTTGGGAAAATTTCAGTTCTTTTCCTTCACGAAGCAAATCCTAGGTGATGCAGTTGCAGATTATGGCTCAAAGGAATAGGTACCTTCGAGTTCTGTGCCAGACTGGTGTGGACGACTTGCTGTGGGAAATGGATGGGACACAGCCTGAGCAGCAAACGTGGCCAGGAGCGACAGATCCGCCACAAAATGATTCCCGCAGGACCAGTAGGTGCGGAGCGTTGCATTGCTTCTCCCTGTAGCTTCAATCCTCGGTGATTCAGAGAGCTACAGTTCAGAAGTTGCAGCAACTGGGCGGCTTCACGACATACAGTGAACTGTGTAGAGTCAATTTTTTAGGTGCTTTATGCACCTGTGTAGAGTCAATTTTTTCCTGCGCAAGCAGTGTTAATTGAAGGTTTTTGACATTGCTCATGTGGTATATATGTCTCACGGGGGCTAGGCTCTAGGCAGTTCCAAGTATTTTTTTTACATATGGCGGCTTGGGCTACATGGAATTTTTCAGCAATAGTATTCAATAGAACTTTCAGAAAGATAGGAGCTCCAGTCGCCAAGGCAGCATAGGCAGTCATGTCAGAGTCTCACACTGAACGTCACGGTGGGTGACCATGTTAGTCAGCCACAGAGGTTTGCAAAAATGCGATCATTACATTGGTGAGTTGGTTGAAACAGAAGTACCCTCTGGTAAACTAACATAACTATGGAACATCACAATTTTTAATGGGTAAATCAACGAACTAAATGACCATTTTCAATAGCTTTTTGTATGTTTACCAGAGGGTACCATGTTTTGAGGATGAACTTCACTATGGCTTTGGACACCGGGGATATCCATTTGTTTTATTTTCAGAAAGCGACCCCTACAAGGACCTCACCCTTGATTTTCATGTTTGTAGGGGCAATCATTGATGTCTTAATTGAACCAATCTGGTTTGAGTGGTTTGGAGAAATAAATCATGGGTCGACTTGCAAATTAGGGACTTTCCCCTCTTTCTGAATGGCAAACTTCCATGTTTTTTCCAGTGAACCATATGAAACCACTTGACCGGTCAGCCACTTTTAGAAGTGTTTTCATTCGTTCAACTTCGTGGGGCTTGGACAATTTTTCAGGGGATGGGACAGAGAACAGCCGTTGGATGGACATCGGATGGACATCTAACAGTTTGACGTTGGAAAACTGCGCAATTTTCATAGATAAAGCATCGTTCACGAAACGGGCCATTTTCCATAGCTATGTTAAAGAGGTAAACCTTGCACTGAAACATATTTCAGCCGGCTTCGATCATTTGGTTTAGGAATGATTCCGAATCATCATAGTCATAGTGCTAGGATTTTTTGACCACTAGAGCCGAAGCTGCCAGGCCTACCCTGCCAGGCCTTCTGAACTCAATATTCATTTGTGACATCCACATTTTAATAGCCCTTTTTTTGTGTCAAAAAGATGGCTCACTGTCGAAATAATTTCAAGCTGGAAGATTGGATGGTCCATGAACAGGGATTGAGCTGTGGATCAATAGCTAAGAATTCAAAGCGATCTTTGATCCAAAAATACATCCATAAATGCTTTGTTTAGGATTTGTTTATGGATGTTCATCCTAAGAATTTGTGTTTGATGAACATCCTTATATATTCACAAAACATTTTTTATCCCAGCGATCTTGATGTGAACAGAAGGGGTTTTTGAGGCAACTTGACCCATATTGATATTGGCTACGTCTGGATAATGAGATGACCAGCCTCATCCAGCATCCCGACAG